CTTGTTTTGCTAGGGTGTCAGCAAAAAACCATTTACTGATCTCCTTACCCACTTGAACCAAACACCCACCTCCCTTGTTATGCTAAGAATTTCCCTTATCAGCTGTCTATATTGCCAATTTCCCAGCTGCCCTGATTGCATCCACCCAATTACCAACTTGGAGTCTCCCTTTATCTCAATCTGTTGTAGCCCCAATTGTTTGGTCAGTTTTAAACCTTGATGTAGTGCCAAGATTTCCGCTCTTAAGGAATCTCCAACTCCTATTGGACCTGAAAACAAAGCCATTATCTTGCCTTCACTATCTCTGAAAACACCTCCTATACCAGATGGGCTTGGATTACCTATAGTGCTTTCATCAAAATTCAGTTTCACCCTTTGTTGTGTCGGTTGGGACCAAACTTTCTGTATCATAGCTTTGGAAGTAGTAGTAGATGCCACGATACCCCAATTTCTATAAATGTCTTCAACTGAGAAATCCTGAAGATCACAGGATTTCGACCAATGGATAACCTTAGTAGTTATTCCTTCCACAACCTCTTCCTTGGATCTACAACTGCCTTTGAAGATCCTATTGTTTATTTCCTCCCACACTGACTACAATATAGTAGCTCTAGTGGCTCTCCATATAATCCTTCCACGAACTGTTGGTTGTCTGAAAAAGCTGGATCAAAGAGGTTCACCAAGCTTGAGGAGGGAGTCCACCTGCAGCCAAAGAGAGAAGAGAACCAAGACCAAATAAAGAACACAAAGGGACATGAGATTAGTAAATGTGAAATTGTTTCACCAGAACCCAAACAGAGGCAACAAACATGGGGGGAGAGGCACTTATTTGGCCTCTTTTTCTGCAATAAATTCAAGGTGTTGATTTTTTGGAGTGCCACTTCCCAGCAAAAGGCCTGAATTTTTGGGAGTACAGGGCTAGCCCATACCTCCTTTGAAGGAAAGTTCCCTACAAGGTTAGAGGTCTGAAGCAAAATGTTATAGAAAGAAGAGCAATTGAAAAAACCAGAAGGGAAAGGTTTCAAATTCTGCTATCTCTACAACACTGATCAAGAAAAACTTCCCCTAATTGAGTGATCAGATCATCAACCATCCCCATCTCAGAATCCCTTAGACCTCTTCTCAAGCCCAAATCCCAGGAGTTATCAACAAACACTGAAGATATCACTTTCTTTTGTTTTTAGACTAGGAGTAAATAGAAGGAAATCTATCTCTAAGGGAGTTTCCACCAACCCAAACATCTTCCCAAAACAAGACTTTATTTCTAGCGCAGACATCATATTTGAAATAAGGAAGCATAAAAGGCAAAATACCTTGAATAGCTTTCCAAGGAGAACACTGAGAAGCCCTAGGGTTGAGTCCTACATCCCAGTCGTTATCTGCCAATCCATGAATATTAACAATCACTCTAGACCAAAGTCTGTCCTGTTCCATCGGTAGTCTCCAAATCCATTTCCCCAGCAAAACCGTGTTTCTTAATCTTATATTTCCTAACCCAAGGCCTCCATCATCCCTACTCCTAGAAACCACCTCCCACTTCACTAAGTGATCCTTCTTAGTATCCC